CATAGTCTAATCTAACTTATTTTCATCCTTAATCATAATCATAATTATAAAAGCTTGTAAAAAATAATTATAATATATATTTATACTTTTAAAATTTATATGTAAATTTTTTAATAAATATATAATTAAATATTATCTCCACTATCTAAAATTTTTAGATCTTTAAATAATATTTGAAAATAAAAAAGGTGAAAACTGAAAAAGTAAATAGAAGATAAACTTTCACTATACTTTAGATAATTAGTCCTAGTTTTCATTTATTGCATTTTATTTTATTCCTTAGTACATTAATATCTAAACGCCCTTTAACGCCCCTTCATTAAGTGGGAAAAAAAATAGGGATATTATTGGAGGTGGGCTGGATTAGCCTCATAGTCATAGGTTAAATTGATTTCTCTATTGATTTTCCTTTCTTAATTTGATTATAAATGAGAATGAGGGAGAGTACCAATTTATTTTCTATTCTTTATTTTAAAATAATACTTTATTGGATAAAAAAATGTATTTATTCAATATCTTCGAGAAATTAAAAACATTTAATTTGTGGAGGCAATTGTGTCCCACTAATTGTATAACGTACACTATAAAAAATTATGTAATCAGTGAGGTTTTTTTTCTGGCGGTTTCAAAAAATCGCAAAAAATATTATATTTCTAGGTTACTTTAACCGCCATAAAAGAATAATATTTTCAGCGATTTTACCACCACAATCTTTAAATACTGTTCAATCTTTCTATATCACACGTGGCAACCATTTTTTTATATTATTTTTAAAAATATAAAAATCAAAAATAAAAAACTTAGATAGTTTAATATGAAGATTTTCCATTTCCCATTTTTAATCAAAAACACTATTCTATTACTCTTTTTCTCTCCACTTTTTAGGGTTCATTCATTCATTCTCTTTTTTTTGGAAGTCAAAGAATTTGCTCCTATTGCGAGACGAAGAAACGCCAAGCTCTGATTCTCTTTTGTCTTTCCCGACAAATTTCAAAGTCCAAGAGGTAATGTAATTCTTCTCTCTACTCAACGTTCAATTATAGTTTCCTCATAATTATGGAAAATTGTAGAGAAATGTGACTTCTACGGCTACAATTGTGGTGGCGAAGGCATAACTTCAAAAAAAGTTGGAAGCCTAAAAATTTCTTGAATGTTCGAGAAGGTAGATTTGGAAGGGAAAACCAACCACGATTTGGAAGGGAACGGAGGCGGTGCAGTACAATTCGGCGATGGCGGTGATGGAGATTACCGCGGTGGCGGAGAAAGACGCCGAGTTGAGGAAATCGACGTTCAAGCCAAACTCACCCGCTTGCAAGGCCGTTGTGGATCAAGTGGGGAAGATAATCGAGAAAGCGGATTCGAAGCTTCTGGTTCCCTGCATAAAGACGATTGGGAATTTGGCCAGAACGTTCAAGGCGACGAAGAGTCGGATGATTGTTTCCTTTATAATACTTTGTGCTCCATTTAACCGTGTGCTGGTTTTGTTTCATTTCTCATGAGATTTCATTATAGTATATTCTGTGGCTTGAGTTTCTTATTACCTATGTACCAAAGTCCAGTGTAAAGGACTCCTACTACTATTTTTAAATTTTAGAGAACAAATACTTATTATCTGTGTGGCAGCACATAATTTGGATTTGACCATAAATGTGCACAGGTATGGACCATTCTGGATTTGCACTACCTTAATATTTGTAGCAGCATCCATTGGCACATTTGTGACTTATTTATCGTACAAACTGAAGCATAAGGAATGGAACTATGACATAAATCTGGTGACATGGTCCACTGGCTTGTTTTATAGTTATGTCAGCATTGTTCCTCTTGGTTTGTATTTAATCCTTAAGTACATCTCTGTACCATCTGGCCTTGTCCAACTACTCTGCCTCTATGGATATTCCCTATTTGTCTTTATTCTGACTCTGGTGAGTTACTGCTCTTCAAATTTTCTTTCAAGAAATTATTAGGTTATCTTGAACTATATGATCTTTAAATATTCTCTATATAATATGTAATCAAGTGTAATTATTATTTCCTTGTAAATTGTATGATGAAGTTAATGATTTTACAGGCTTAACATCAATATGCATAATAAATAAATTACATCACAAGTGTCTCAATACTAACCAATAGCTATAACAAGGTTGACCAGTGCAGTTTTCCATATATGAAGGTATTGCTTAAAAAACATATAAAACACTAGATACACATCACCCCATTATCAAAGACTTAAGTGTAAGTTGGCATTGTTAGTATGGATTTTGTTGATTAACAGCAGTTCCTATATTTTTTATTTTTATCAAGTTTTCTGATCGTTTGCACACAAAACATGTACACTTTCGTCGTAGTGTGATGGTAAGAAAGGGAAGAATTGAGAGCCACATTTGAGAGAAGATGTCAAATTGCAATTTTTGTTCTGGGTGGGTTGTGAGCATCTTTAAATCAATATAGATCAATGTAAAACACGATAAAATGATATTTTACTCCCTGTAGAAACGTGAACCACTTTTAGAGAGGTTGTGGGTATCTTCAATCAGTATTATCTTTTTTTGTGCAAGTATTCAATTATAAAAGAGTTGCTGTTGAGTCTACTTAATTGGCAATTCTTGTTGATAAACTGGTGTTCCCTTCCAAGTCACATAATAAGGGAAGTGGAAAAGAGACAAAATATTCTAAATTAATATTCTGAATCACATAAATCACTTTATGATGAGATTCAGATACTTCAAGGTAGACTTGATCGAAACCCTGAAGTTACTCGGTTTGCTGTGGAGAGAGATTCTTTTGACTGAAGTGTCTTCTTTGAGGGAACAGGTAATTGTGTTTCTGGATTTTAATACAAATAATTTCCCTTCTAGAATCCTTGCATTTAAGATTCTATGATTGAAAAACCTTTGTTCTGCAGTTGCTTCAGTACCATGGAAGAAACTCGATACAGGGTAATTCAAATCATGATATTGAACCTCAGGTCAGTCTTTAATTACCTGAAGCAGTTCATGAACTGCACAGAGGGATATATTTGCCTGTTAAAACAAAATGTATGCTAAAATTGTGTTTCTAAACTGCACAAAGGGATATATTTGTATTGTTATGGTTGAAATATAGTAAAACTTAGTGCTGCAAGAAAGAAAATAACTCTGTTGATCTCGAGGTTTTATTCCTTCCTTCATAATAATTTAACCTTTTTGGTTGTTAAATTAGAAATGTGACCACTACTGTTCATGGATTGTAGCTAAGAAACACCCTTGATGAGTTACAAGAATGCATGCGTAATTTAAATTATTGCCTAGAGGAGAATGCAAAACACAGTAGGTATGATTTTGGTACTCTTGTTGAAGTTCTTTTGGTTGAATGGAAGCAGATTGGAAACCCAAAATTTGGCTGTAAAAATCCTAATGTTTTTTTCATTGCATATTTATACAGGGAAATAGACTCTCTTCACTCAACACTAAGCAGCACAAATGCTACAAAGGTAGTTTTGTTATTCTGATTTCAGATCTTTTCATTTTTTTCTTTACTACATTGTACAAATCTATAGGAGGAGGATGTGAATGGTATTTGTGTGGAAAGCTTATGATGAACTCAATCATGTGCATTCTTTTAGACCTTTCATATTCCATACACATTATGGCTTTCTGCTACAATTTTTTATTTTATTTTTATCACTTCATATGTAGGATAGTTCTGTGACATGTGAAATAATGTTTTTTTTTTAAGGGATATATTTGTATTGTTATGGTTGAAATATAGTCATTATTAGAATAGTAATCACTAATTAACTCCTAAAATAGTCCATCTATTGAAGTGATAATTGGTGTTCATGTGTATGCTAAAAAAGTTCAATATATTTCTAACAATTTCCATTTACTACTGGTGCAGAAAACTTCCGTGGCCTATTGGAGGACCAAACAACATGCTTAAATCAGGAATTTCTGATGGCAAAAGACAAGCTTAAGCAAACAAGCAAGCAATTAGAAGATACAAATGATGATCTGAAAGAGGCAAAGTCTGTTATTGAAGCTTTAGAATCACAACATATATTATCTATTTTGGGGGTGATTTGTTTTGCAGGCTCAAGTTCATAGACATGCTCATAACTTTAGGGAAGTGTAGCAGTGTACTCTTCTATCTATCAAAATAGGAGGGTGCAGTGAAGATTGTTCCTATTGTCCTCAATCCTCTAAGTATGACACAGGAATCAAAGGCCAACGCCTTATGAACAAGGAAGCTGTGCTCAGGGCTGCAAATAAGGTACACTTTTATCAGATAATCAATTTATGTGTAGTGTTCTTCTCTAGCTTGTGGCCTCGTGATGTCATTACTGATCTCTGGAAAACTCTTTGGATCTGCCTCCCATGGAATGGTGTCATTTGAGTTATGCATTCGTTCCCAACATTTCTTTACTTAAGCATCATATATCTTCTTATTTAAATTAAGAAATGTATCGTAGTTTAGATGTCGGGAATTTTGTTTTAGGTAAAAACAATAGGTTGTTGAACTCAAGAAGGTAGGTTTCTCAGCCTTATTGTAGGGATATGGGGATGGAGGTTTGTTGCACCCTTGGCATGCTTGAGAAACAACAGGCTGTTGAACTCAAGAAGGTAGGTTTCACTGCCTATAATCACAATCTTGACACTTCTAGGGAATATTATCCAAACATCATCACAACAAGGAGTTATGATGAGCGCCTGAAAACCCTTGAGTTTGTTCGTGATGCAGGCATCAATGTTTGTTCTGGTAATTATATTAACTTAAAATACTATGAAACTTATTAGTAATGTAGCGGTAAGTGTTTTATATGTTTTTGCACTAAATTAAATTATATTAATACTTAATTGAAGTTTAATATTTTATAGGATGAAGGGAGTGGACATGACATGGCAACACCACAAGGAGGATCTTCATTAGATAGTAATGTTCATGGAGTTTGACATATTATTGTTTTTTTTTTGTTAGACATGATGAACTCATGAATTTGAACCTGTTTTTATATTTGAAGCAAGATTAATTTTAGGACAATTTACATATTTTGCTTTTGAGCATTAATCATGAATTTGATTTTGAGTTACTTAATATGTTGGATATGTTTTAGAATTGATGGATGTTAATGTCTTAATAATAAAAATGTCATGCTAGACCTATGGTTAGATGTTGTCTTGATTTTTTTATAATGTTAAAAATTGTTAATTTAATGTATCATTACGTAATTATATTTGAACAAGAAACATACAAAACACATAAATATTATTATAATTATAGGTAGAATTTACTAAAATAAATGATCCTAGAATTTGACAAGTAAAATTTTTATTTACAAGTTACTTGAATTAAATAACAATATAATATAGTCATTATTAATCATTAATGATTAACATGGTTAGTGATAATTTTTAATAATAATTTGATAAATGCTTAAAATATATAGAATATTATTTGTCAATTTATAACAAAAATGTGCTTTTAAAATAATTATAAATATATTTTAAAAATAAAAAATTACCGCAATGACAATTTAAAATTGTCAGAAAATATGAGACAATAAAAATATATTTTTTGGCAACTAAAACCGCCAGAAAATGAAAACAAATAAAATAATAATAATTTTGTGGCAGTTTTAAAATCGTCAGAAACCTAGTATTGGGTAGAATTAAAAAGAATTTTGTGGCAGTTTTAAACCGCCATAAAATGACAAACAAGTCAAACAAAACTGAAATCTTGTGGCGGGTTTCAAAAATGTCAAACAAGTCAAACAAAAATGCATTTTGTGGTGGTTTCAAACCGCCACAAAGAGATTGAATTTTCTGGCACTCAAAACCAGCGTTTACAAAATATCCACCGCAAACAGTTTTTGGCGACTGTAGATCCGGCGATTATTTATAACGCCGGTAATGCGATTTGTGGCAATTTTTAACCGCCAGAAAATGCCAAAATAACCGCCACAAATCACACATTTTTTTGTAGTGGTAGCGAGTATTTTAGAAGGTCATGGGTGATTTAGTAGCCCAAAACGGGTCGTTTCCAAACTGGAACAGACTGTTTCAAACTACTAAATAGGCCTATGAATTTTGGACTGGAACGGACCGTTCCAAAATGGTCATTGTGAGTTAAATTCAACTCCAGAACGGGCCGTTCCAATTTTAGAATGGGTCGTTCTAGACATGCCAGAACGAGCCGTTCTGCATGTGAATTTTACACATGATGAAGGAGCCCAGAACGGGTCGTTCCGGATTTGAAACGGGCCGTTCTGACCACTTCAGACTTTTATAAATAGAGGTTGTGCAGTTGAGGAGGAGGAGAGGTTTTTAGAGAGAAGTTTTAGAGAGAAGGAGTCTGGACTAGGAAGCTTGCTTTGGGTGGATTGAAGTCCCAGGTTGAGCTTCGAAAAGGAAATTCCACTTCTTCTCAGTTCTTGGCTATTCTGAGCCAATCTTCAGATAAGGAAAACTAGATTGTATGTTGTTTGGTTGTATGTGAGTTTAGGAACTCATACGGAGTTGTATAATTACATTGAGATGTATGATGAGTAGAAAGTGAAATGAAGAGATGCATGTTGAGTATAGTGTTGTAAACTAAATGAGTAGTTGTGCCAAATAGAAAATGCGTTGAATACATGGTATGTTGCTAAAGTTGCTATATTTATGTGTGGATTATTTATATGTTGTAAAATATGATGAAATGATAATGTTGTGAGTTGTGAGAAGCATGATGTTAAATGTGTAGGCGTGTTGAGATTTACACAAAATTTATTAGTAGACCATGTTGTTAAGTTGTTAGAGAAGAGTTGTATGTTGCTATAAAGTTGTATGTTGTGCCCTGTGTTGAAAAGGTATTATTTTATAATGATTGAGTTGTAAATTATGCGTTTGAGCTAATAAGTTGTTGAGTTGAGTGTGTTGTTTAAAGTTGATTGAGATGATGAGTTGAAAGCTGCGTGTTGTTTAAGTTGAAAGTTAATTGAGATGATGAGTTGAAAGCTGCGTGTTGTTTAAGTTGAAAGTTGATTGAGATGATGAGTTGAAAGTAGTGTGTTGTTTAAGTTGTTAAGCTAAGCTGTGCTGTTGAGTTGTAAGCTGATTCAGTTGTGATGATAAGTTGTTGATCACTAGGACTAGATGAGATGCTTTCGAAGTTGCTCATCCCATTGTGCGGATTGAGATAGTTGTGGTGCTCTGAGAGCCCAATTTGTTGAAAACCCTCCTTGGGAAGTTGTCCCTTGGAGTGGACGTTGTGTTGTTCTCCTCTAGGACTTATTTGGTCCCGTGTGTGGGCAAGGTCGAGGCACACGTGTACAAAGCGACCACGGTATAGGGGCAAGGTCGAGCTATACCGATTACAAAGCGACCACGGTATAGGGGCAAGGTCGAGCTATACTGATTACAAGCGACCAATTTGAGATAGTACGAAGTCGGGAACTTAGTTCCTAACCGAGTACTATACTTCCTTGTTTAAGTGGCAAAGTCTGAGAAATCGTTATCGTGTTGTGGATTTCTATCCAAATTTGATGTTTACCTAGCAAGCCCAGAAAGGTTCTGTGTTGTCAGTTCGGTAGGACCTAGCTACTTAGACTACTTACCACATTGTAGGAGATATCCGAGTTGAAATGCGTGACGACGCATAAGTTGTTGATGAGTTGATTTGTTGTTGATAAAAGTTGTATCTATGTTCTTGTGTTGTTAAGTTGTGATTGTGTTGTATGTTGATCCTGTTGAGGATGATGATAGTGTTGTTATGTTGTAAGTTGCTTAATTGTATAAAAGTTGATGATGAAGCTAGTGTCGCTAGATTACCTGTGTTGTAAGTTGTTTTAAACATGTGTTGTTGAGAGGTGTGTAACATATGTGTTGGTTGTTGTTATGATGAATATGACAACCATTCCAATGGTTTGTACAGTAGTTGCGTTGAAGTGTTGATACAGTGTTGATATGTGGAATCAAGTTAAAATGATGTTAAGATGTATAATATATGTGTTGTTTATCTTTTTTTCGGATGTGAAGATGATTCTATAGTTGTGTTTCATATTTGATATTTATGAGTTGTTTATTGTCTCTAGCTTACCCTTGTGTGACACCCTCACTACCCCAACACATATATTGTAATAATGAAAACTTACAAATAAATTTTTCAATTTTGGTAAAAGGGTTCACATGAGAATCTTCAAAATTATTCTTCAATAATCACAATAACTAAAATGAAATGCAGGAGTTTACAAATTGTTTTTAAAAATAATAATTACAATTTCAAATCCATATAAAAATCTATGTCCTAAAAATCCTCTGTCCCAATGTTACAATATCAGAGTATACCCACAATTCAACTGTTGGCATTCTTAAGATAACTTTTTAGTTCAATCTGTTAAGAAATAAAATATTCAAATGAATTTTGACATTAATCTCAATAAATAATTTACATTAATTTTTTTTATTATTTTAAATTCTAAATTTGAATAATAATAGAGTAAATTAATTTTTTATCACAAATTTTTTTAAAAAGACACTCACACGCATATTTAAAAATAAATTAATTTGTTGACTTATTTAAAATTAATTTTATTAATTTATTTAACATTATTATATAAAATAAGCTTTTAAACAAGCTAATAGATCAAAACAAACTTTCGAAAATGACCAAACTGATCCTAGTAAAAAAGTCTTTGATAGGACAAATTACTTAAACTCTAATTTTATAGACAAACCAACATATATATTCAAAATTTGATATAACATTTTCTCATTCATAATAATAATAACAATAAGTGATTCATGAAAATTATAATAATAATAATAATAATAATAATATTATTATTATTATTATTATTGTTATTATTATTATAATTTTCATGAATCACTTATTGTTATTATTATTATGAATCAATTATTTGGTCGAACCATCGGCTCTAATATCAATGTTGAAGAGTTTTTAAATCATACAAATAAGTTTGATACCATAACATAACCTAAAACCTTAAGGTAATAGGTAGGTGGGTCTTTCTCACTTATATATTATTCAACACGCCAAACTCTAATCAATGTGGGATTCCAACAATCTGAAGTGAAAAAAAAAATATTTCTCATAAAATTGAATTACGAGTAATGTCATCCCTAAATACAATAATCACTTAAACTATTTACTTTTTAAAATATTTTAAAAATAAAAATAAAAATAAAATTTATGATATTTTAATTAAAATTAACTAACTTTATTATTTTTTTTAGTCATTATAAATTAATTATCTGTTTTTATGATATTAAGTACTATATGATAATTACTTAGCATCCGCAATTCTGAAGATAGTAAAATTTTCACTTTATATTATTTTTGATTCCAAGTAAATATATATGATAATAACTCTCATTTTATTTGATTTATTTTGAGTAAAAAATTATTTTTTAAAGTAATTATTGCTCAAAAATCAAACAAAAGGAAACGCCTACAATTTTCTGCCAACAATATACAGGGAGCATCCCATTTATGCCATGCCCGTACTTTTTTGTTTATTCTCTTTCTAGAATCTTGCTTTTATCTAGAAAAAGCCAGTCGAGAATCTGGTTTATTAAGCATAAACCTTTGTATTTATAAATCAATATAAAATAATAATAATAATAATAAGAGAAAAATAACTATGAACTGACATCTGCTTCATTGCAATGATTGGTTATCTTTATATTATAGTCATGAAGATAACTAAAGAAAAAATCATCTATATATAAATGTTACGAATTCTTCAAAACTGTAGCTTTCGGGTCATAAATAACAATTGAACTATACTATACTACTTCTTTGATTACTTTTTACGTGATTTTATTAATTTCTTAGTGTACGTTTATTAGAAATCTCTCCTTCCCCTTATTAGATTCACAATAAATTCATGTATATCAACTTTCGAAATTTAACTTACCTAAAAAAATTTGTAATAATAATATATATATATATATATATATTTCTAATCCCAAAAATATAATAAAAATATAATATTAATAATAATATTATTTTCTGAAAAACTAGGTGTTACAAAAGTTATTTATTTATTTTATCATTATCTCTTTTGGTTCACATTTACTTGATGAAGAG